ATTCAACCATGTGCCACAATCATGTTTTTCCTAATTGAAAATTCTTGCTGGCAAAATTTTTTCCAGCTTGAATTTGCAACTTATCTCAAAGAACTAGTCTTTCTAATAATAATAACGACGAAATGTGTGAAATGTTAGTGTTGGCCGAGCTTCTCCTCCGACTTGTGGCGTGCACCTTGATGTTGTCACACAAAGCGGAGGGACCTACAGTTTTACGCCGACTCCGAACGGCGATTGTATTTTTATGAGGAGCTATTTTTCATGGCAGAAATACACTCTGAGGTTTGCCATTGCCTGCCGAGGGACGACCGCTGTTAAGAAAAAACCTTTTTTCTATATTTTTTGCGATGTTGCTTTGACCAGGGTTTGAACCCAGGTGCTGCGGAGTGGAAGCGCGCACTGCTTACCACTACACCACAGCGGCCGACGAGTCTTTCTACTTCTGATTTATTAAAAATAAAACATGTGAAATTTAGTTGAAACAGTTTAGCCGTTTTTAGCCGGCTTTTCTTGCCAATTTAGCCGGTTGGCCCAAAAAGATCTGGCAACACTGGGCGTAAGCGACGAAATGTTCGGTTTTTGGCAGAAATCGATTACTTACCACCATACGCACCAGTTGTCAAAATTTCAAAGTTCTGCGAAGTACCGTTACAAAGTGCTTAATTGTATTCTGTTTACATATTTTTGTGCCCGCAGTGTCGGTTGAGCCTCTTTCTTCGTGAAAAATTTTTCATTGCATTGTTACATTTTTCTTCCAAATATGGACTATTTACAAACAAAGGTAAATATATATATTTGTGTTAGATTAAGACTTTTAATCAAAAGGATAAAAATCAAATATATGTATATGGTGTTTATATACTCGGTTGTTCCAGAGCCTAACTAAAGTCGTGCTCGTACTATACAGCGACAACGATTCTTCTGAAGAGTTAGTTGAAGGGGAAAGCTCTGTTCGTTTCTTATAATATTGCACTCCAATAAGGCAAAAAATGCTCGTCCTCTGCCCTTTGATGCTTTGTCAGGGGAGATGGTTGTCCTGAAAAGTAGAAGGTTGCTTAAAATTACAATATTATGAAGTGCGTGAGCCCGATAAAGATGAGTAGGCAAAACATGCACTTTTACAGGGTGGAGCGTAACATCATGGTAGCACCATGGAAGACCAACATTTTTTTTGGGACAAACGAAATCACCATTAGTTTTTATAGAAAAACTAGCAGACCCGGCGAACTTCGTCCCGTCCAAAATTATTATTTTTTTTTTGATACATTTTGGCCCAACATATTCCCCAACAATTCACGTTCGCGGGTTCCGGTGGCACATTTATCTGCTGATGCTTTCCATTTCCAGACAACCGGTCAGGTACGAGCATGATTTTTAATTTCGACCAAACTCAAATACATTGTTTGTTGGTCCAAATAATGAAACACGTACTTTTTCTTTTGGCTCGGAAAAATTTTTCGGCCGAATTAAACGCGATTTTGTTTTTCAGGCAAAAATCGATTATTCGAATTGACAGTGAGAATTTATTTTTAAATGCCCATAACTTTGTCAAAATTTAATAGATTCGAACAATGTTTTTACTCAAATGTCAGTAATTCTTGTCACTTCAAGATAGAATGATATAATTATTGATTTTCATTATTTAAAATTTTTTATTTAACAATAATCAAAAAGTGCAATTTTTTTTAAATTTAATTTCTCAAAAAGTGTATTTTTTTTTCTCTCAAACTTTTTTACCGGGAAAGAGACACTTTGAACTACAATCAACCCAAATCTCTAATAGCGAAGATTTTTTTTCTGAGTTATGATTTTTTATAGAAAATATACGTTTTTGTGGTACATACTACAATATTCTTATATTGTTTAACTAGATGGAACATATGTATGTAATATATCAGCAAAAAGTACGGCCGTGATCATTTTGTGTGTATCAAATAGATGTTAGAACACACTTTCCACCATACAGTTTCGAAATACAAAATCACATTTTCCCGCTTTTTATAATCGAAACTGTATGGTGGAAAGTGTGTTCTAATATCTATTTGATACACAAAAAATGATCACGGCTGTACTTTTTGCTGATATATTACATACATATGTTCCATTTAGTTAAACAATATAAGAATAATGTTGAATGTACCACAAAAACGTATATTTTCTATAAAAAATCATAACTCAGAAAAAAAAACTTCGCTATTAGAGATTTGGGTTGATTGTAGTTCAAAGTGTCTCTTTCCCGGTAAAAAAGTTTGAGAGAAAAATAAAATACACTTTTTGAGAAATTAAATTTAAAAAAAAATTTGCACTTTTTGTTTATTGTTAAATAAAAAATTTTAAATAATGAAAATCAATAATTATATCATTTATCTTGAAGTGACAAGAATTACTGACATTTGAGTAAAAACATTGTTGGAATCTATTAAATTTTGACAAAGTTATGGGCATTTAAAAAAAAATTCTCACTGTCAATTCGAATAATCGATTTTTGCCTGAAAAACAAAATCGCGTTTAATTCGGCCGAAAAATTTTTCCGAGCTAAAAGAAAAAATACGTGTCTCATTATTTGGACCAACAAACAATGTATTTGAGTTTGGTCGAAATTAAAAATCATGCTCGTACCTGACCGGTTGTCTGGAAATGGAACGCATCTGCTATTATTACGGTTTGGTGGTTGTCAGAAGGCATATTTCCGTTGCCGTCTTAAATAATCACACGAAAGTATATGTCCGTGAAGAAGTTCCTGAAGTTCTCTAATAATCTGGTGTTAACATCACGGTTAATCGTACAACGAAATAAATCTGAAGAACTTTTTCCCCTTCTCTGACAATAATGATCATTGAAACTGTATAGTATAGCTGGTGGCAACTTCAAAATGGATGAGTATCTTTGTTCTGCAGAAATCCAATATATTGAAATGTTAACGGTGGTCATTTGAGATTTACCCATGGTCACCTCAATCCTGGTGTCTACGAATTAAGCTTTAACGCACAGTAATATTGGCAAATCGAGTTCTACATACTCGGTTATAGTTACATTATTTGCAAAATGCGGTTTGTATGGGAGGTTCCACGCCCCTTTTCCAATATACCGCATTTTTTCCATGAGTATGCGATTGGTTTCATATATCTCCATGCCAAGTTCCAGTGCTCTACCATGAAAACTTCCAGAGATATACAGTACGAAAAATTCAGTTTGTATGGGATGTGCCACGCTCCCTTCACTTAGCGGTATTAAATATACTTTACAACCTATTCTCATACCTACTAAATATACACAAAAAATTGTATGCAAATAGGCCAAGCCGTTTCAGAGGAGTTTGACCACAAACACCGTCACACGAGATTTTTATATATTAGAAGATAGTTGTGTTGAAGAGTTGGTTTCTTAACAACAAGAATTAAAGAAATGATGGCCTTAAAATGGTTTTTGTTAATGCAAAGAAATGTTTTTTTTTTAATATATCGTCGCTGCGCCAACAAAAATAGTTATGTGTTTTTTAATAACTTTTCAGAAGAGAAAAAAACTGATTACTGGTGCCAATTGGAGGTAATATTTTGCAAGTGTAGTTTAAAAAAAAAAAAATTGTATTAAAAATATGCTATTGATTTCGGAAAAAAATCAATTTTATTTACCAATTACAAAGTGGTCTACATTTGCGCCGCTTTTAAGCACATAGCTGTTTTTATTCACGATTTAAATTTGCTTTTGGCGGTATGGAATCTTATGCAATTTGTACATAATATTTCCGTTAGACCTATATGTAATGTATAGAAGTTGAGGACCCGATTATTTAACTGCTCGTTGCTCTTGTTATGTAATGAAAAATGGTCAGAAACACCATTAAATTGCCAGAGATGTGAACTGCTTTTTCGGTCAGCGTATTAACTTGACCCAAATTTTTCAAGGTTTCGATAGGTGATACCCAATGAAAGCTCGTATATACAAGAAATAATTTCATATGTATACTCTAAATAATTAACAATATAAGGATGTGATGGCCTCGCCTTAGTCCATTGGTGAATATATCGGTGGATTGAATACATTTTCTAATGTAGAGTGAACGCTTTACTTACCTTTGTTAATTGTTGAATTTCAATTGCAAGCGATCAAATTAAATAGTCTATGTAGTGTAAGTGGTATGTCCATACATATGTATGTATGTATTTAGTAGGTTTATAATTATTTTTTACATCAAAATCAAAGCACACTCATCTGCGATCAAAAACAGGTATAAGCAAGTAAGCGTATACCCGTTTTTCCGAGTATTTCTAGTACTGCGAGCACATAGCTGTTTTTGATCAGTTCTAAACCAAAATAGATATAAGAAAACGGCAAATGTAGAAATGTGGGCAATAGATAGTGTTAATAAAATATGCAATAAAAAATTTACAAAAATCACACAACTGTTTTTGTTGGCGAAGCGACGATATGTATCTTTTGGCTTAATCGCCACAATTGCGTGCTGTAGCCTGTTTTTTTTGGGACGGAAAGAGACCAAATTACCTGTTCCATTAAAGATGGGCAAATAAAATACCAGTATTATATACCTAACATCAAACGTAACTTGTTCATTACCTTCAAGTTAGTATCTACAGTAATTGCAGTGTTAATAAACAAAAAAACGCCTGCTGAAAAATTGACTTCTTGTCGCTTACGCCATTTTGGCGGTTAGGGCTCGATATTGTCTCACAGCTACACCTTGTTAGATTGCCATCCATTGTTAAAAACTTCTTTTGTGAAACTAAAAAGCTTCACCCACATTCTTACGAAAAAAAGGATCCATAGGTATTCCAAGAGTTGTGCTTTTTGCGAAGGCTGTTTCTTAATGTTATTTGCTGCAGGCCATTGTGGGCCCGTCAGTATAGATAGAGATGGCTTCCTTATCGACAGCTTGTGGTCTTCTCCATCCCCTTTTAGATGAAAATAGTACAATAAATAGCACATTTGATGTACCTTATATTTGTCACTATATTTAATTGCAAATTATGTTTATTTCGCAGATGTTGATACAAATGAGCCCGATGAAAAATCTCTTATTACGTACATATCTTCTTTGTACGATGTGTTTCCGGAGCCACCTTCTATTCACCCTTTGTTCGATATGGAATCACAAAGGCGTGTACATGAATATCGAGATCTGGCTCATCAATTTATTTATTGGTGTCGCGAGAAGACCGCATATTTGCAGGAGCGATCTATTCCTCCTACAGTTATTGAAATTAAGCGACTGTTAAATGATTTGCATTGTTTTCGCAATGAAGAAGTTGCAGCGCGTAAAAATGAAAAACAAAAACTCATTCAAATATATAACGAATTGGAACGCTATTTTGAAAGCATTGGCGAAATTGATGTGGAATCTGATCTACGTCCAGAGGCTATAGAGAAAGCATGGTATCGAATGCAAACAGCGCTATCAGATCGGGAACTAGCTTTGCAGCAGGAACTGGAAAGATTGGAACGCTTGCAGCGGATCGCGGATAAGGTACAAAGAGAAATTAAACATGTTGATGCCAAATTATCCGACCTGGAGATACTTATAAATGAGGAATCGCGACGTTTAGAACGCTTGCATCCAATTGATGCTAAGAGTGTCGTAGAATCACTGGAGACAGAGATTCGCCATTTGGAAGAGCCACTTCAAGATATGCATCAAGATTGCATTGTGCTAAATGAAGGTCGTTATGCCAATGGTGCTGAATTGCTCAGTAAGGTCAACAGATTACATCAGCGATGGACAAATCTACATGCTCTTTTCAACTCAAATTTGGTACAAAAGCTAACAGAGTTGAAATATCCGATTCATGAAAAAACTGTAACACGACAGACTCGTACGATTATTGAATCACGACAGATTGAAACAAATTCAAATTTCCGCGATTTGCAAGAACACATAGAATGGTGCCAATATAAATTGGTAAGTATATAATTGTGGTATTGCATATTTATTGGGCCAGTACTAGGGATGGGATCCCGGCCTTTTTTAGGTGCCGAAAATCCCGGGATTCTTGGAAAATAATCCCGGCATTTTCGGGATTTGTAATTTGCACTGATGGCAATAATAGAAACTCCTTTTCTTGACCAGTATAGGCTATATTTCTTTTTTTTATTTAATAATTAATATTTTCTATTAATGTCTAGCTCATTATACATATAACACCGTGCGATGGTAAATTTTACACACAAAATTCAATATACTCGCGAAACCAAATGTAAAACTGCGTTTTTAGTTTTTCATTCTCACGTCAGTAATTAAAAAATGATTTGAAAAATTCAGTGAAATGTGCTTAGAGAAGAAAAATGGGTATCAAATTAAAGAGGAAATTCTGTAGAATTTAATCGAATTAATTTTTTTTTATGGTGAATAAGGACCGGTAAGTATTGAAAATGTCCTTTTAGAATTTTATCCTTGAAATTTCGCAATATTTGTTTTTGAAAAAATTATATGTTAAGGACTTATATAAACTCGATAACATCCTCGAATTTCGTCCTTCTAACTTTATCAGCTTAAAAAAATACCTGAAAATTTTTAATTTTTTTTACATTCTAAAGAAATTTCCTCTTTCATTTAATACACACATTTATACCTTTCATGAGCATGAAATGGTATTATAACTTTGGTCCAATGTTTGTAATTACCAGAATAAGAAGGGATAGACCCACTAAAATGCACACTTTTTTGATGAGAACGTCGAGCACTATAACATATAGCTCCCATACTACTGATTGTTCAGATATGAGATTTTTTATTGCAGGAGCCATTTATGTAGCTAGGAACATGAAATTCCGCACTACTTTCATCCATTATCAATAGAATACTTACAGAGAAAATTACAAAGATCGGGTCACTATAACCTATGGCCTCCATACAACTAATTGCTCACTTTAAAACTCCTTTAATTGGACAGCTAAAACAGAGAAATTTCGTGAGCTATTTTTTAAATAATCATACAAACTCTTCTGAGAAAATCGTCAATATCGATGCTGTATAAGCTTTATCTTTTATACCACTGATTGTTCAAATACAAGATTGTGCGATATAATTTATTTAGGCAGCTAAGCGCATTAAATTGTGTAACCGCTTTACATGCCGATCACACATAACAGTGAAAACCACTTAGATTGGTGCTTTATAAGGTTTATCTTCCATACCACTGATTTTTGAGATATTATTTATTTATATATGTATGTACATGTGGCATAGCCGAAGACAGTCTTACTTCTTTTATTCTACATTGCACTGAATTTTTTAAATCATTTTTGGAATTAATCATATCTTTAAAACCGCTAGGTCTTTTAAAATAAATCCTGACGTCAGAGAGAAAAATTAAAAACGCCACTCTAAATAAAAAGTAGGTAATCGATTTATTTATCTATTATTTATTTTATGGTAGGAGAGATAGAAGATACTTTTTCGATTTAAGTTGTTGAAAAATAATAAATGTCTAAATCCCGGAACTATTTCCGGGATCCCGGGATTGTGATAACGACATCCCGAAAATCTCGGGATCGTAAAAATCGAAAAAATTAACATCCCTAGCCTGTACCTATCCCGACTATGTTAGGTGGCAAAAAATGCACCAGAACAAAGAGTGCTCAGAAAGCGAAGAGTTGCCAAGAATTTTATTTATTTACCGAATAAAAAATTGTGTTACCAGTGCAGAGTATACTTGATAGCTGAATTAAATACTTTTAGAAACTGACTTTATATTATTGTTTTGCGTTTTAGAAACAATTACATGCGGCGGATTATGGTTCAGATTTGCCTTCAGTCAAAGACGAATTTAACCGTCATCAAGAGGAGCATAAAAGTATTGATAAATTTCATTCAAATATTTTGAACGATGAACGCCAGCAAACAAAGTTTTCTGGAGACGAACTGCGGCTCTATCTTCAACGTCTTAATCAATTACAAAAATTGTATGCTGAACTTCTTAGCAATTCTACAAAACGGCTTTCAGATCTGGATGCACTTCAAAATTTTTTGGTTGACGCATCTGCTGAATTACAATGGCTTAACGAGAAAGAACTTGTGGAGATTACTAGAGACTGGTCGGATAAACATTTAGATCTTACCGCTGTTCATCGTTATTACGAGGTGAGTTGTTGTCATACTCATCATAGTCGAAGGCTAAATATGGGTTATAAATTTGGTTTAAATTATTTTTTTTGAAACTTCTTAAATAGCAAAAGCTAAGGCTTTCTTAGAATTTCCAGTTCTTACTTTCTACGTAGTTTTCACGAGTCAAGCAACATTGGGCTACATTTTTATATTATTTTATATACGCTCAGCTGGTTACACTGACGAGTGTCATTGTCATAAGTAGGGCTCGGATTTTTATGCACTAATAATTTGCACTAAAAAATCAAAAATATGCACTAAAACTCAAAAATATGCATGGAAAATAAACAAAATATGCCAAAAGACTTCTAACATTTGTTTTGCTTTCTTTAATTTTATTTATTTACTTGTCATATCTTATTATGAGTTTATAATTAACACAAGGATGTATTGTAAATTTGCCACGAAAAACTCAAAATTAATTAAATATATATCTAAAATTTTAACATATATTTGTATTAAAAAAATAACTAAGCACTTAAAGTAAAAAGCAAAAAATTCATTTACAATAAATTAAAAATACATTATTTATTTATTATTTATTTATTTACTTATTTATTTATTTATTTTCCATATTTTTTTTTTAATTTGCTTTGGCTTTATTGGCAAATAAGATAAATAGTTCTTTAAAATTTTCTAAGTTAAAGCTTTGGCCGCAAAAATGTTTGGTATAAGGAGAACTTCCTTTCAATACTGGTGATTGGGGCTTACTTACAGCCGGTATCATACCGAGCCCTAACCACCAAAATAACGTAAGCGGCGCTTTTTTTCAAAATTTAGTTTTTGATGCAGAAATGCATCTAGATCAGGCGACCAAAGGCTATGCACGCGTGCGTAGCTTTTTCGAGCTTTCTCACCGACAGCCTCACACCTAGCGTTGCCGAATTGACGATTTCGTCGTCATTTTGACGTTTTTTTTTTAGCTCAATGACGTTTTGACGATTTTTCCTCCCATAATGACGATTTTTGTTTTGTTATTATTATTTTATTTTTTCCACTTATGGCGTTTTCGTTTCTACCAAAAAAGGTTACGTTCTCTTTGCCTTCCACGTACAAATTCTAAGAAGAGGGCAATGAGAAGGCAGCATTTTTTGTAGAAACGAAAACGCCATTAATTACATATGTACACACCCAGCGTTGCCGAAAGATTTCGGTGAAAAATCGTAAATTTATCTCAAAAAATCCTTATTTCGGCAAAAAAAACGTTAAAATTTCTTTATTATATATTTTTTTTAATAAAAATACAAAGAAAATTACATACAGTAAATATGACCACACATTAGCAAACCAAAGGGAACCCACATTGCATATGGGGTAATAAAAGCTGTTTTGTAATTGTTAACGGCAATTTAAAACACAACTGTTTTTAAATAGTTGAAATCCACCGGTTAGAAATTTTTGTAGATTTTGGTCCAGTTTTAAAGTGTACCTAGCATTAACATTTATTAACTGATAGACTGATTTGAATGAACAAATTTCCTCTGCTATTTTTCTGTCTCTTTCAAATGAGTGTCAGTGCAAATTAACGATTTGGTTACAATTTTGGCACAAATTTAATATAAATTTAAATAAATGTCAGGTTGTATTTTGGTTTACATTTTCCTTCAACAAATTTTGTACATACATATCAGGGTTGTTGCGAATATTCTTATTCGCATTCGCAACCGCGGAGCTTCCGCATTAATTACAACGCTTTTATCAACTTGCAATGTTGTGCGTCCAGAAACTTTCAATGTTGTGCGTCCAGAAACTTTCAATGTTGTGGATCCAGAAACTTTCAATGTTGTGTGTCCGACACCAAAGCAAAGCTTTGAAAAGTTCCTATAAAAAAGCATAGTGCATAGGGCGACAGCTGTAGTGAATAGGGTAGAGGTAGATGACATCTAGATGTCGCCCTATGTACTACGTTTGCTACAGCGGAAATAGACGACACGCCATTTCTTTAAAT